CACACACACATGGAGACCTGAGAGACACTCTGCAAAGGAACCAAAGCAAATTCTTCAGGAGCCTAGAAAAAGACTTGACTAATTATTTGCTATCCTATTGACAGACTATCTTGACATTAGCCAAGTTCCATAGTTTCAAGTTTCAGGTCAAAACATTTACATAACAGTACCCCTGATGTTTTACAGAGGTTTTTCTTGTTACAAAACTCTGGAAATATTGACTTCCTTGGAAACATTTCTCTTACACTCCATTGCATTTTATAAATGTCTCTTCTTTGGTTTCTTGAGTTGCCATTATGTACACCCTCAATCCCTGCCATAAGACTATCAACTCTTTAGATCTATTTCTAATCCTCTGGTGTAATGATATCATCACTGTTTGTTAAGAAAATGATTATTATGCTGCCAAGGATTTAATCCCATACATAATTCTTTAAAATAAAATGAGTTGTGTTCATGAAAAGTTTCTAGATTCAAACTCTTAAAGAATGGTATGTTCCAAAAAGACAAATTAGCAGCAGAAAGTTAAACTTTAAGGAGATGGCCACACAGGTTGAGAAAAAGCAGAAGCCTCTGACTGCTGTCACTGCATTTTGCTTGTAGCAATGTACCAGATCTTTAATGTACACAATTGTGTTTCTATGACCAATGCAGAGTAGCAACAATATTGAGTTAAAAAACATTTTACAAGTCTAATATACTATGAAACTGAGTTACACAAAATTATTAAGGACCTGTTATGTGCCAAGTCTTATATTAATGAGCAGTAATATAAAAGTAACTAAGTAGATTCCTTTAAGGGATGTCAGCCAGTTCCTTAGTGACCTAGTTAGTAACAAAGCTGGACTGTGAGGTCTGGGAGACTAGAGATCTTGTCACTGACTGCAAAACTTCCAATACCTAGTAGAGTTCCTGGGACACAGAAATAACTCAATAAGGTGTATGGAATAAATTTATCACAAAACATTACTTGCTTATTTGTCTATTTTTATATCTATAATGATGCATTATTTGGATTGATTTTTTCCCTTTACATTATTTACTGAAACATTATAAATTATGCCTCACCTTATCCTTTATGTAAATCATTCAAAAACAGAGTATTTTGCTCTTTTGTCACTTTCAAGATGATGTGAAAGAAATAATTTAAGAAAGGTAAATTATAATAAAGGCAAAAATCTTTGGATGGAAGTATTTATTTCAAGCCACTGTTTTGAGTGAATCTGTCATCAGTTTCATATGTATGAATTCACTGCCCCTTCACAACAATAACAATAAAAATAAAAATAATAATATGTTTGCCTTAATACCCCAACCTCTAGAATTTGAACCAACTATCAGGACAGTCTGTGAAAATTGAAATTCAGAGCTTTTAAGTACTCTACAGGACTTTTTGTCTCTCTGTGCCATAGGCTTAGACCAACAACCTGATTTTTCATTTCGAAAGATAACTTTCATCATTGCTTTTTTTCAGTTTTCCACTAAAACTATTAAGTGACTAGGCCCATGGTAGTCAGGCACTACACAGAAGGAGGACTTACCTGTAGTTTTGTTTTTCATTTCCTATGTGGAATCTGTCATATTGTGAATAGGCTCGGTTGCCTTCCCAGTCCATTAATTCAATTCTTAGTGTGTACTGCCTCTGACTGGTTATGGCAAAAATAAACTCGTTCCCCAGCCAATATTCACCAGAGGGATTTCCAAAACCCTGAGAAAGAAGATAAAGAAGCAGTTGTTATTTTAGAGAGAACCTCTTTAGCTCAGTATTTAACTATGTTCTAAAAAATAATAAAATATTCTTTAAAAGTAAAGATATGTCTTCCAAATTTTTACACTTTTTCCAGTTACCAACTCAATACTTTTTTGTTATGTTTCCCTCCCTCGAGGTTTATGTCTAATTCTTATTATAGTAAAACCTGGGACACTCAAATCTGTGCAGATGAGATGTTGTTGGATTAAATGAATCTGGTTAATGAGTTTAAACAGTAAACCCTTCTCAATTACAGCTTGCGTTTGAAAATGTTTCTAAAATACCAGTTAGCGGAATATTTTGAACATAACTTTAAACATTTTTCAATTAATAATATCAGGGTGGTATCAGAAAAGTTATTTGACAATATTAGCATTTTTGTTGTTATTAGTATTTAGGAGTCAAATCATGTTCAGACAGTAACTTAGATTACCAGACCCTTGATTTTTCTAGCTCTAATGTTCTCATTTTTAATATTAATAAGCAAATTAATGTGAATCAAGGACTTTAATTATTTAAATGCTTCACTGGCATGGATTTGGATTTTGAGGCAAAAGGCTCATGTGTAAGAGCTTGTGAGGGAACCTAGCTGGCTGCTCTGCACCTCAGTCTTAATATGGCTCTTGTACTCTTTAGGGATATCCCAGTCACGGTTGTGTTCAGAATAGCTTCTTCGTAGGAAAAAAAAAGTGGTCCCCAAAAGAAAGCTAACTTTTAATGGTAGTGATGTTAGTGAAAGGAAAATAAAGAATCTTAAGGACCTGCTGGCATTCTAGATTCTGGGTATCCACAAATGCCTCAGAAAGTATTGCCTGGTAATGTCTGAAGTTCAGTGTAATTCGTGATCTAATGTTTGTCTTACTGATCAGGCTGTGAGACCCTTGAGGACAGCGCTGTGCTGTATTGGTGAATTCTCAAAGACAAGTGGAATGCTTGGGCATTCATATGTTTTACTGAAGTTCAAAGAAAAGTGAGTAAAAGAAGGGAAGAAGGAAGGAAACAAAATACAATAGTACTATGCAATGGCATTTAGAAAAGTAACCTTAAAACACAATTACTGTTGTAGGTAATTCAGTTGAGTGTCAGGGAAGCATTTCTTAAAGTTCTTTATACACTTCAAGTTTTTCTTTAAAACCAATCATAATTACTGGAGCTTTGGCTAAAAAAAAATTCCTGCATCTACACTGAATGACAATATTTGGCAGTGGGGCCATGAATCTGCAGTTGAACAAGCTCCCTATTTGTCTTATCCATACTAATATTTGGAAGACACACCTCTTGTAATCACAGGATATACTATTGTGTTTTAGAAAGAAACAGATTCTGATTGAGGTATTCATTAACAAGGTTTTACTTTGTCTATTTTGAGAAGTATGAGGGAAATACTAAAATAATCATAGCAATCTTTATTTTCTCAACACAGATGATAAAGTTTGGAAAACCTCTGCTTCCTTTCAAATTAAATGTGTATCAACTTTATAGAATTGTAACTACAGTAGAAGTATTCTTAATTGCTTTCTCTTTTAACCAACTTAACACATGAATTAGTGTTCTTCATTCCTTCTTTAAAATTCAGTGATGCCCAGAGTATACTAAAAGCGTTAAATACATTTGTGCACTCTGCCAGCTGACTCACTCAGCAGTCCTGCTTGGTCCCAAACCTGTGCATGCAGTTCTGGTGCTGTAGTGATGAGATTTATAATGTTATGTAAATAAGTTGAATATCAGTGGGGAAAGGTGGTGTTTTGCTGTGTGTTATAAAATCTAATTTAAATATTTAGGTTTGCTCAATAAAAGCAAAAAAGCACCATCAAAAAAAAAAAGGCTTTTTTCAATTATGTGCTGTTGCAACAACTCTGAAAGACTGCAAAAACAATAAAACATTAGAAGGTTTTTAATTTACATTGCTTTGCATTCATATGTCTTACTTGCTGCAGTAAAAAAACAGAAGGTAGAAATTTGATGCATTTCATTATGGGAAAGAACAGAAGGTAGAAATTTGATGCATTTCATTATGGGAAAGTTTTATCAAAGAACCACAGACAGAATTTCAAGCTTTAGTCCTACAGTTTAAAAAATGGGTAATGAATGTAGTTTTATATTTAAAATTAAAATAAAACACATTAGTAGATGTAGGCACGCTTTTTAAGTTATTCCATAACTTAACTCAGTTTTTGATTAACTGAACACCCTTCCTCCCGACTGACTGGACATATGCTCCCTTTGCTGCTCAGAACAAAGATATGGGACCCACTAGAGTCAGTATTCCAGGGGCTCCTTGCTTCTCTGTTCTTAAGATGCTCAAGTCACACTTGGCAAAAATTCCATGTTGGCAGGAAATATTAGAGCAATTTAGGATGTACTAAGAATTTTACACATTCTCATGGCAGCTAGTGCTACATACCAGGGAGAAGAAGTCTACCTTCTCTAATGAATAAGCAAAACAGAAAGTTACAAAGGACTGAAAGTCAAAGCATTAGCACATTCTCAGTTGCGGAAGCCACTGAAAAGAGAAAGATGACTGCTGGGATTTTCCCTGCATTTCTTCTCAGCTCAGATGTGTAAAACCCTCCCTCTGGCCACTTGCCCTCTTCTGCGTAGTTAGAAGGGATATAGCAATTCTACTAAACATGAATAAGGAGGCTGAGAATGACAACGTGTTAAGTTGCAGGTCACTTCCAAGCTCCTGAAAGTGTTACATGGATAAAACTCTCCAGCTTCTCTAGGGAAAAGTGCAGTGATCGCCAGTGAGCCTCAGACATGGATGAGCATATAAGAGCCACCATCCCCATCTTGGCAGGCAGGGTTGTGCCTCATTCTAAGTGAGAGTAAAATCCTTCCTAAACAGTTTGTTTTTCCTGATTGAAAATGGAGGAAGAAGTGAAAAGAAAGCAATAAAGTTTGCTTTTAGAAAAGAAAACTCTTATTTCACCTTCCTGAAAACCATCTAAACATGCTTTATTGTGGGAACAAAAGGTTTGGCTACAATGAATCAAAATGGTTCTTAGAGGAAACCTTCTAACAGCTAAGTTCAGTGATGCAGAAACAACTGTTTCATCAGAAAGATAAAAAATAAGAGAAAGAAAGGGAAATGTGTTCCTACATTAGCAACTGCCTACTGGATAGTTTATCAGGCAGATCATGAATTTGATACCCAGGAATGAAGACTTGGCTTTGATCAGGTAACTTTTACTTCCTATCTCTGCTCCAATTTGAATCCCTGTTCTGCCACATATTTGTTGTGGAACCTCCGACATTACTTCTGAGCCTCAGTTTCCTTATCTGCAAAGCAGGGATGAAAAATGTCATTTCTAAATATAGTGTTGTGAGAAAGAAATAACATACCTAAAGCATTTAGCTCAGTGCTGATACATAAGAAGTAATAAGAAGTAAAGAATTGTAGATTAATGATACCAAAATAAAAAATTAAAAAAAATACATAGAAAACAATAGCACATATAAAATAAAATAAAAAAGAAGCACTTAACAAAAACCTAGCTGTTATTATAATTAGAGAACATATCACAATACACAGTAATTTTCTGTTTACCTGCCTCTCTCCCATGAATCTGTGAGCTACCTGAAGATAAGCAGGTGCTTTTCTACTCTGTATAAGAAAGGAAACAAACATCATCCAGGATCTTGTCTTAGCCTGAAAATTAATAAGGGGACACTAAGACAATACTTAAAAGGTTTTTGGATGCTAGGAAGTAATATACCTAAAGAAAAATTGAGTGTTGGTTTATACAAATGAGTATTGTCATTTTAATCTAAGATGTAATTACTAAATAAGAAATGAAAACCAGCTGGTTGCTAAACTATTGGGGCCATATCATGACACAAACGAAGTGTAGACTACTTTCTTATTCTTACTTCTGTTTCCTAATGTGTCTCCTTAAACTTTCCCTTGGTTCTATGTCTTTGAATCCCTTTCTCTTTACATCTCATAAGTTTTAAGATCTACAAAAGAGGTAATTTTTGAGATTTTAAATCCATGATAATATATTGATCGTTCTGATAGTTACTTTCAAGTGGGAGTGAATATCTGAAACAGCTGTGGTGCTTTTTACAAATACAGATGACTTGGCTCCCACACGGAGATTCTGACTCAGTATATCTGGGGTGGTTTAAAGATATGTACATTTTAAAGGTCCCTCAGGTGGGTCTGTCATGTACCAAAGGTGGAGAATCATATAATGATGATGTGGGATAGCTACTCTGAGAGCAAGAATGTGTTAACCAGATCAACTACCTTACTGTAACACAGGGAAGAGATGGGGATAAATTTCATCGACTTATTGAGCTCCATATTAGGTGGCAAGTTTTGATTATGCATTATGAGGCTGTCTTTGAAAAAAAAATCATATTCATGTCTGAAATACAGAGATGGCCAATGCAGAAAAAGTACGTTTACCCATTATTGCACACACAACAGCTTACCATAGGGGTAGATTTTGTTCAAATAGCCTGTATGGTCTATAAAAATAAAAGTTTGTACAAAATTCAGTCTTGATGCTGAAAAAGCAGCAAGTCCTTATTGAACAAATAAATAGCAATAAAAATGGAATTTCTTTATAAATAAAATTCAAGGATGCTATGCTATATATCCTTTCAGGAAAAGTACTGTTTAGTTACTTCAATCACAATTACATGAATGCTTTTGATACCATTATTCAGAGAGATTGTTAATCAATTTTATTTCTCCTTTAGCTCTCTAATAAAAGGTAAAGCAGACACTGGAATTTAACCTAATTCTGACCTAGAATTGGCCTGAAAAACCACATTTTGCTAAAAAAGGAAATGTACCCAGAGTAAAGACTAATATTCATTAGGCTTGCCAAAATCTGAAGAAATGTTCAGTTTCAGTTTGTATTTTTCCAAATTAATAAAATAATTGTCTCTGATACTTTGTTTTGTCTAATAATGCTCACAGAAAGTGTTGACTTTTCACACCTGAAACAGAACTGAAACCAGACACAGCCCATGCATCCTGTGGGTTGCATCTCTTTTCATATAAATGATTAAAGAAAATAGATTAAGAAGGCAGATGACTGAGTTACGGTTTTCTAAAGGTGCTTTAATACATAATTCCATTATGTATCTCCCCTAACTGCTGAGACACTCACCTCAAAAAGATCAAAATGAATTATTTCAACATTTTAAATTTCTTATATATTTTTCTCTTTTTAATGTGAACATGTTAAAATGCAGCTGAAAATGTGCTCTTAATTTCTTTCCAGAAACAAAGAACTCCCATAATGTATGATGCTCCAAATAAAAAATTTGTGTCAATAGGAAGCTGTTTATGGGGGTAATTATTTTCAATACAAAGCCAGGTTGTCTCCAGAGCATTAGTCACTACCTTCCATAAAGCTAGGCCACTAGGGTACTATTTGGAACTCCTAGCATGATTGGGTTTTATTTGCAAAAGTATTGCTGATAAGTGTTATTGCTGGAGGCCACTCAATGTTATCCTCATGGTTTGAAGGGGTTAATAAAGTTCCTAAGTGCCTCATTAAAAAGACCCACTCCAGACTTCCCTTCAGCAAACATCTTTACAAATCCATAAACCAGATTTTGCTGCATCTCCTCACAAGTAAGGTTAAGTTAAAACAAAGCTCAGGTAAAAGACTTTTGTAGGCTCAAAGCCACTGTTAAGTCAGATAAATTGTAAATCTTCCACATTGAGAGAGGTTTATAATTAATAATTAAATGATATACATTTGTAATTTCATGCTTAATAATTTTAACACATTGCTCTGGCAATCTTATGAGGCCAGAGGCAGCTCATACATATCATCTAGTATGAAGGCAAGGAGAAAGGAGGGAGGAATGAAGCTTTAGTTCTACACTCGGTGCCTGAGAAAGAAGTCAAGTGTCTTGTTATACATAATAGTAGATAGTGAAGACTGTGGAGGAATTGGTGCATACCAACAAGTTTTCACAAAGGATGTACACCCCAGCAGCCAGTCCGCTAGAGGGAGTAGAACTGGGTGTGACTGAAACAGAACTGGCATAAGGTGTCTACATCCATCCTCTGTGGTCATGTTATTTTCTCTTTAGGTCAAAGAAAAGCTCTGGAGGAAACAACTGAAACATTTTGTACCATGTGTGTTGATAAAAGTTAACCAAGTTATAACATATGACGAATTTTTTAAATTATAACAAAAAAGTTATCAGACTCATTTTTGCCAAAATGTTTTAAAGTTTTGGAGATTATCTCATTTTCTGACCATGAAGAATTGTCAGTCTACCGATAAATTGCTCTAGTTTGAATAAAACATGATGGTCTTTTCTATTTAAAAAAGGGAGGGGTAAACTTCACAAAAGCTATGATTAAAGAATAATTCAGTCATATTCCAGTAATGAAAAAATGGCTTAAAATACTTATATATATGTTTAATAAGATAATTATAAGACCTGAATCAATGCCATACTTCATATGTCAGTCTCTCTTACTTACTTTTCCTAGTTTGCCAAGGCAGCAATAATTCGTTATTTTGGAAAGTCATCATGATGAGAACTTTATACTCATTTTTCTATTATTATTAATATTAATAATAATATATTTCAGATTTGCCTGAACCTATATCTATCTATAGTTAGACTCTCAGGTGACTTCTTCACATTCCATTTTACTGGCGAAAATAATCATGAGTTTAGTTAGGCAGTCCACAAAATATTTTTGGCAGAGTTAAGTAAAAAAATTGCAGTCTTTGATGTTTTAATCTTGGATAATAATAGCTACTGTTTACTGAACATTCAGTGTGCCAAGTGCTTTATTTATGCCTAATCCTCACAACATCCCTGCAAGGCAAGTGAGGTATTATCACTGTTGATGTGCCCTTTTAATAAGTGAGAAGTTAAGGGTTTAAATGATCTTCCAAAAATCACTCTGCTTGTAAATGGCAGAGTGAAGACTTGAACTGTTGATATAGACATAATACAAGGTCCTCTTTTAAGAACTTAAATTACATTTTTCCCCAATATGTTCGTAGAATCACACAGGCAAAACTTAGATTTGAACCAACATTCCGTTTCTATATAACAATCCTGAAAGATGGCAATTATCTTCTACTGGGGTGTTTCCACTGAAGAGGGGTCTTCAACCACTTAATAGTCCATTCATGTTGGAAAGAATCATTGAGAGTTTTGTTCATACTTTGTCAAATTTTGCCTCTTTGGAATGTTCCTCATTCATGTGGAGCCTCCCTGTTTAAAGCAGGGATAAAATGCAGATTCTCATTCAGGAGGTTTGGGGTGGGGCTTGAGATTCTGCATTCCTAATTAGCTCCCACACAATGCTAGTGCTGCCGGTCTCTGGTTCACAATTTGGGGAACAGGCTCTATCTAGTACCACATAAACTCCATCCAGTCAATTAAACAGCTAGAGAGGTTTATGCCTTCTTTTTTCTTTTTCTAGTTTAGAGCCCCAACTATTCACCTGCTCTAGATGTGGCTTCCAGATTCCTCCCATCCTGCTTGAACCCACTAGGATAAGTTCACCTCTTGGAAAGCCCAGAACAGAAAGCATATTCCTGATGTAACCAGAACACTGCAGACACCAGTGAGTTCTGCATTTTTTGCGACTAAAAACCATGAATGTAGAGTTAATACATTAATCTTTGTTTTTTAGTAGCCAACAACAAAAATGAGCTTATAGCCAAATAAATCTCTCCATCTTTCAAATACTAGCTTCTTAAGCTAATGTGTCACCTTTATCCTATATTCTCACAGTTAATTTTATATATTTTTGGTCTAGGTGAAAGATTACATTTACTTATGTAGAATTCTACTTGTTGGCTTTAGCCTGCCTTTTGACCTTGAGTTTATGATTTATTAAGACAGCAAGGTTCCAACTTTGTAACTCCAAACTTCATTAACCTACTTTCACAACGTTCAACTGTGCATCTGATAAAAACATTGTAGATACAAGGATACCACTAGAGACCTCCCAACATTTATTAAAATTCTCTGTTTACTGTTGTTTGACCATCTATGAACCTAACTAATGCATAAGTTGTGATGTGAATCAACCACAGTTTTTAAACATTTTCTACAAGAATATCAAGACAACTTAGGCTAGCACAACATTTCTCTTCACCTTTTTCATTACCTTCTAAAAGGGAAATTTGTCAAAAATTATCAAGAAGAATTAATCAGAAAATGTACATATAAAAGATGAGAATTAGCTCATAAGCAGAAATCCTCTTTCATTATTGTGCTCTGACATTCTGCCAGCAGATTTTAATAGTAAATATTGTAGGCACTGACTTTGTGATTATTGGATTATGGATTATTTCAACCAACTATTACATTATCTTGGGAAAGTTGATCCCTGAACTTGCTCATTTTCCTCTTATAATGGAGACAGTATTATCTAATAGTTTTAATATAAAAAATATGTAAGAACTTATGTGTAGGGCTGGCACATATTAAGCACTGATACAGTGAGCTATGGTGATGGTGATGATGTTGGCTGTTATTTTCGAGACCCCAGTGAGCCATGCCTCACAGTTCATGCCACTGTGTACTCCTCTTACCTTGAATCTAGTCTGGCCCTGTCATCAACATTAACCAAAAGAATGCAGTGGAAGTGACACCATATCATTTCTGGGTCTCATAAACCTTAAAAAATCTGGAAGCTTCTATTTTTGTGCTTTAGAGGTGCCAACTATCACACGTAAGTCTGATGACCATGTATCAAGGTACTGGGGGAAGCCCAACACAGCCACAGGGAGGAGCCCTCAGTCAACAGCCAGCAACAACTTGCCAGCCCGTGAGTGAGGCCACTGGTAGTATCTCTCTGTCCTGCTCTCTGACCTGCAGCCCTGCACACCTCCTCTGTGCTGGCTCATGTGCCCAGCCTGGGACTGAGCTCTAGCTTCCCCCACCTTCATCCAACCAAGAACAAATCCAGACAATACATAACAACTCAACAAATAAATTCAATAATACAATTTTCTTTCTGATGCACATATGGAAATCATTTACTGAAAATGATTTATGAGTGTTTTGTGCTTAATGGAAATAATGTGACCAATGTATCATCTTACTTTTAAAACAACTGAAAAAAACATAAATATACAAGGGTTTATCATAGTGTGGTGAAGATAACCTCATGATAAAACATCAAAAACCACATCAATTCTTCCATCTTACCATTTTATATTCTTTCCAACCTCTTTGGAAATCCAGACTTCCATCTTCACGATGTTGCACAATAGTCCAACCTCCCCCATTAAGGTCCATATTGCAAAATACCTGACAAAGGGAAAATACAGTCAAGTGAAAATTATGTCTGCTTTAAATAAATATGAATCAGTTATGTTTCATAATAAAAAGTGGGTAGACAGACCTATAGATAAAAAGAATAAAAATTACTATGTTGAAAAATGTTAATGTAGACATTTAATTTTACTGGTTATTCTTATATTGAGTTGTTTTTAATTAAATTCCATCAAATGTGCATGAGTTATTCATAAAAATGTAAACCTATCAGTTGAAAGTTATCTCAGTCTCATACTATAAAAAATTGAAAAAAAAATCTTTGTCTTAAGTGGTAATAGGCACTTGTCTGAATTCAATTTTTTAAAATGCAACTCAAGTTTTCAAAATTATGGACTATTTTATTTCCAAAGCTAAGATTCAGAAATATTAAATCAATTGTTAATTGAAATGAAAATATAATAATAATAAAAGATTCGGTAAAAACTCAGCATATGGAGAACACATTATTGCCTGAATTTTCGTCATGAGCAATAAGAGAACAAGACATACTGTATTCCTTCTGACTGCAACAAGCATTTCTTTCCCATGTGGAAAAGTTATCCAAATCTTTCAAAGACTTATGCTTATTTCAATTATTCCAAATACAATAGTATTTATTTAGAAATTGATTCATTTACCCTAGAGTCCACCCAAGGAGAGAAACATATCTGTAATGGGCTTATCTTTAGAGAGCAATCACTATAATTGATGTAGCATGAATGTGGCAGTTTGATTATTCAAGGGCCCAGTTGTGGGAGCACCATTCCCTCAGCAATTAAGTACTAAAGCTTTTGGAGGCTGGCTGAAGGTGCAGGTATGATGCAGCAGCAGCAGACAGGCTGTGTGGGCATAGACTAAGCTCCAATTAAAGGTAAAACTTGGAGCGTTTTTTTGAGGCATTGAATTTGGGGCACAAATGGCTAAAGGGTAAGAAAACAATGGGAAGAACTGCTATTGAAAGGACAAATTGTTCATGTACTTCCTCAAACTAAGAGATCCATGCATATTTGTGAGCATACAGAATAGGCAAACTGCTCTCCTGAGGGCCCTCCTTGTAATTTTACAACAGCCACCCATCAGTATGTCTTCATCGTCACTAGGAGTTGACTCACCTCCAAGATTATAAATTTGAAATTCCCCTCCCCATCCCTCTACTATTTTCTTAACCCTACTGTACCTGCTCTTTGTCCTCAGTGTAACTTCTAGCTAGTCATTCATCTTCTTTAATTCTAATTCATTATTTTTCACCTGATATGCATTTTTTTGGGTCTGATGTTGGTGACTTTATGATGAATAAAATATGGATCATATCCTCAAAATGTCTAATAGTGATTGCTCCTGTTGGGTTAAGGAGATGAGTCAACATTTTTCAACTCAAGTGACCTGAAGAATGATAGAGACAGTTACCCAAATGAGAAATTCAAGGAAGAAAGCTAACATATGTGAAAGAAAATGATCATGTTGGACACATAGGGTTTGAGGTAGCATAGTCATCCAAAAGGAGGACCTTATCAATCAGTTATAGATGAACTACTGGAGGCAAGCCAAGGATAAGAATATGGATAAGAGAATAAGAAAGGAATAGCTATTAACTATAGCATGCTCATAAGTGCCAGATAATTTTAATACTTTTTCTAATTTATCTCACAACAACACTATGATAGAAGTATGACTGTCATCTTCATTTTATGGATAAAATGGAAAAACCAAAATTTAGAATATTTTAGTAACTTACCAATGGTGATTATTAATAACAAATACTGGATCCAGGACTTGAAACCCTTGTCTACCTAATTCAAAATTATATTGGGAGTAATCTGTTTAAATGCAGTCGTTGATAGCATGAAGGTGAATGACATAAAGAAGTAAAGAAAAAAGTAGAAAGAGACATGGTGGGGGGGAGGGAAGAGAAATCAAGAATGGACTTTGGTGAACAATGGATGGAGATAAAATACATCAATAACCTCTAGGTAGCAAATAGTGCATTTTATTTGCCAATGTACTTAGTGCCTAGAGCAGTGCCTAACCCATAGCAGGTACTAAATGCCTATGTGTTGAGTAAATAGAGATGTAAGAAGGAAAGATAAAATAGGAAAACTTGATTAACTGAATGCAATGAAAATGGGATAGATTTTGAGTTGGAAAAGTGATCAACTTAATCAAATATTCCAGAGAAATCAAGATGAATAAAGATTAAGAAAACACACACCTAAATTTAAAATAAAGGAGCCATTAGTGACTTTGAGGAGACAGACTGAAGAATTCCTACGATAATAAAATCCAGATGGCATAGTTTAAAGAGGGCATAGGTGGTGATTCTAGACAAGTGGCCAAGGTGGAACTTTAATGGTGAAGTTTAAGTAAGAGTAAGTGAAAATGTCAAGGAAACATTTTTTTGATTAAAACATTAAATTTTACCCTGCCTTGACTGGTTAATCCACAATTTTTTTTTCCAGATTTTTATTTCTTAATGGACACTGCCTGAAAGTTTGCAAAACTGTGTTTGCAAAGCTATAAAGTCCACTTACATACTCAGGGAGAGGAAGAAGTACATTTATAAATACAGTGTAGGTAAAACAATCTTTACAGTTTTTTTAGTACTATTGTCTAAGTTATTAAAATTCTATGCACTTAAAGTTTTAAAATCACTCACATATTTTAGGAAAAGACAACTTTCCTTTTAAACAAAGGCATCTAGTAACCTGAAAATGTTCAGATGTGCTGAGAGCACTTCTTAACTAAAGACCCAGAGAAAGTCAGAACTACGTGGGGAGGTAGAAGTTACCCAGGCAGGCTACTGCATTGGAAGCTGAAGTTCAGAATAGTTAAGGGGTTAGACAGATACTCCACAATTCTTACTATGACTTACTAATAGGAGCAATGATAATAGCTGCCATTTGTGGATTATGGGCACAATAGGGCTGAATGGCACATTGGTTAGTGACATGGACTTAGTTGCTAGATTACCTGAATCCCACCTTTGGTCTACCTCTTAGATCTTTTGCTACTATGTCAATGCATACAAAGATTTTAGAGTAGTTTTTGGCACAATAAAGGCTTTGTCATTACTCTTATCTTTTAGATGCTTTTTACATATGAGAAAGGTAATATATATATTATGCATTATATTTTATATGCATAAAATATTTAGTTTACTATTTATATACTATTGTGTATAATTTGTTATTTATTTTATAATGGATAATATAGAATGCATTAAACTAAAATATATAGTAGTTGAAAAAAATGCCCTTATGATTACGATCCTAATGATTATAATGATCAGCTTGTTACCAGTAATATTGGCATCGTTAATCTTTGAGCATGCTTTTAATTATGTATCTGTTTAAGAAGTTGGATTCTCTCTTGCAAAAAAAAAAGGCCGTGTTATTTCTAGTCAGAAGAAAAATAAAGAATTTGTGCTTAATAGATGAAGGAAGTTCAAGAAAATAGGTGGTTGGTTTCAAAAGCTTTGAGACATAAAAGGATTTGAAAAGTTCATCTGCCAATATTGTGTGGTCTTTACTATCTAGCTGTGTTTTTCGTGTAGAAAAGGGCCCTGCTACATTTACTATGCCTGTTGCACTTATTGATCATAAGACTTAGGCTTAAGGCTATCCAAGAAAAGATTGAGCTGGCTCCTTTCCCAGGCAAGGTCAAACTTTCAAGCATTAAATACCTTTTAACATAATATTGAGACCTAAACTCAAATAAAAGGGGAAATTTGATTCACATGGTTCTTATGCTTTTAGCCTCCATACAACTTGGAATAGTTAGGTTTGTGGATGTTAATTATTTTTCCATAACTTTAAATAAAAAAGGCTCAACACGTTTGTTTTGGCTCTCTTCCAAGAATTAGGGAAATTATGAATTAAAAAATAAATTTTTAGTATTTTACAATAGCAGAGATATGATTTAATAGTTTTTTTTGATGAAACTAAGCTGGCTATAGGTCATTTGGTTTTAGAAACTTACACAATGAAATAAAACATCCTATTTCCTACTACTATTCATTAAAGAAAATTCAGAGAGGGAAATAGCCATAGCCATTAGTAATATAAAAGGAAAAAAGTATATATATATAAATATCTAATTCTCACTTTCTATCTGCTTGTAAAATTAAATGGTCCTAGAAAACCAACTTTGACGACCATATCACATTTGAAAAGACAACACTTTTCTAATTTTTACAGACGTTCCTGGGAAGGAATGATGTCAAAGTTAACTGTATAGCAATTCTGTACACTTGCAACTCCTACTCTGCCAAAAAAGATAATTTTTAAAATAGTTTTTGTCAATTGCCTAAATAGCCCAATTTATTGATTGGTCCACATCCCATATCACACATCCAGATTTTTTGTTTTATTTTTATACAGGTTTGCTTTGAGCTTCCCTTATCCTTACTAGAACCTCTGCATGCATTACAAAGAGCAGAGCCCTTGCTAAGCCTATCCAAGAGTAGTACCAAACTTTACATCTACAAAGCACAACCTACTTGGAAGAGTAAAGGTCTAAAGATGTATTTTCCAAGCTCTTTTTATAGGATTGAGAGAATACTAATGATTAACATTAAAATAGAAAAAAAAAGATTACAGGTTAGAAGAGAGTGGGGTGTCTTACAGTCAGAAAATGAATGTTTTATATAATTTTCTTATTAATAAACTCTGTGTCACATAGATTTATATTAAAAAATTATGAACAGTATAACTTCAATCATCACTAATATAATTAAACCACTCAGTCTGTTAAGATGGTACAGCCTGGACCTGATTCCTTTGTTACAAAGCCTGTGCTCAATATTTACTATGTGGTTTGGGCAAGTTATTTTTCTAAAATAGGTATGATGAGAACACCTATCTCACAGTTATTGAGAAGAGTAAACAGATGAGTTTACATATTTGAAGTGCTTAGGATAGGACCTGACAAACCATAGATGCATTTGAACTATTATGTTAATCAGTTTCTAAATTACATTGGGAAAATTCATACAATATTTTTTCTCACTAATGTAGGGAAGTTAAAAATTTGCTACCTGTGAAAAAGTGCAGGTTTATGAGTCTAAAGTCTCCATAATAAGAAAATACTACTGCTTGTGAGAGGATCCATGATTCCCCTCTGTGGTCTTCCCTCCTCACTGTGCTCTGCTACTATTTTCAATAAAATTAAAATCTTATAATAGTCCTGACCAGATGATGTGTATGTAAACTTCCTCCGTCTTCCCTCTGAAAAGCTATGGGGGCTGTTTCTATAGCGATAAAATTTGCCTCTTACAGGCTTGTACTGTTATTCCTGCTAACCTGCTCAGGCTACTCTTTTTTAGTAGGCCCAAACCTTAGAAGCTTAATCCAGGACATATTTGGTATTTGTGGATTTAATATGTTTAGTTTTCATTTATTCAAGAACCCTGAAGCTCCATAACATATCTTTGCAACATTTTGCGAAGTTTAAGTTTAAATCATGCTATCCTCATGAAACCAATCCCAGAGCCAGCCTCTGAACTAGTGAATTGGGGTCCTCCAACCCACTCTTTCATGTAAACATGAAAAGCAAATTTATTCAAGATTGTAAGTTAAGATAGGATATTTTTCTCTCACCCTAACACTGCTCCAGTGTTCTGAAAATAGCCTGTGCATCTCAAAATGTTTTGAACTAAATTAGTTCAAAATACTAGTTGTGATCATGCATGAATCAAGGTTCATGGAATGATAAAAACTTTATTTGTACTGTCCTCTGACCCTATCCCAGGCCATGTGAAAGTTCTGTTAATGGAGTGAAAAAGATTCTAAAAGTGTGAATGTTAATCTAAAGACTTTAAAAATGATTTTATTTTTATATTCATATAAATCATCAGGAGTCTAAAAGGAAGAGTCTAAATATTTTTAGTTAACTTCTATATTTATAATCAAGCTATATATCGTGGAACTGATAATAATTTAGGGGTTCTTTCAGGTCGGGGGCAGTACCATAGGTAAATTATAGAGAGTATTTATGTTAGTTCCACTCTTGCCTCCAGAACAGTTTTTAATACTTCACATACTATGTGTACGGATATGAGTATATGGGTGTGTACACATATATCTGTGTGCACATTAATTGAATTTAAGTTTAAGTATGACTTTCAGATGCCAGCAAGCAGAGTAGCAATGCTTCGTATCATATGATCTGAGGGATCCCAAATTCTCCTCCTTACAATAAGTTATCCTCTTCTCTTTACCCTAGACTTGCCATTGTAACCTCAACAGATTTTTTTTCCCCTAAAGCCAAAGAGCACTTGATTCAGTGAAATCCTTGACAGAAGCCCAAAATAGAAGACAAGTAAAACTAGAACTTCTCTAGTCGATGGCCTAGGTAGCAATGTATGGAACTGTGCCTGTTGCCTTTTTTCTTCCCTGTACTTTCTCTCCACTACCCCCATTATAGGACAGCATAGAAGGCCTCTTTTAAGAAGAAAATATTGTCCCAGCAAATGGAAAAAAAAAGTCCTTGAGCTAATCTAAACTACTAATCCTATTGAAATCAGGAGAGAGAGGATGCCGGTAGAGTCCAGATTCTCCTCTTGACAATTACGTGACACCTGGCAAACTGGTCTCCAAGATTCATTTCCCTCATCCATCAGAGGAGACTAACCATCAAAAAGACTAAGTTAGGATTACTTACTATATACTGCATAGAAGTGTTGGTATTCTCATCAGAAGATAATTTATTCTTTCATTCACTTGAGTACATATTTATTGAGAATCGCCATGTGCCAGAAACCATGTTGGGTCTCAGGAAATGAAAGACAAAAAGGCACAATCCTTGTCTTATGGCACTCTGGTAGTGACAAAGTTATGCAAAGTTGCTTGTGGGAATTAGAGAAGGCCTTTCAATACTTCCAAGAGTATTGGGGACATGGAACTGGAAATTTAGGTGGGGCAGAGAGGAGTAAAGTTGTTCCGTCCTTTGAGGGTGGAGCACTACCAGGTCAAACAGTCTCCCTCGGGGGCCTTGGGCATCAAGCTAAAGCTTTTACATGTTGAAGAGCAGGGCTCTGTTTAAGTCTCTCCATACCACCTGCTTCAAACAGACCGTCTCTATCACTATACTACAACTTATCTACAGTATGTTACAATTATCTGCGTAACCGTCTGTCTTCACCACTACAGCAGGATCTATTTGTTTTATATTGTGTCCCTAGCCAGTCACTAACAAATGAATGACATTCACTTAATATGGACTGAATGAAGGAATGGATGGATAACTTAATAAGTAGGGAGAAACAGTATATAAAAGAGATGTGACAGCAGGAAGATACTTTGCTTACTTCAAAGTTTACTTTGGATCCTGTTCAACTCACGATGAATCTTTTCTTCCAACCCAGTCTTTTAGGTAAATATAAAAAAGCAAATCCTTTCAAGATTATGAGTTAAGATAGAATATGTTTCTCTGACTAATAGCAGCAGTGATTTTGCCAATAACTATATGCTGCAGGCTCCCTCTCCATATTATTTAGACTGTAGATGATGAATGCCATCTGGGTCCTTAGGACTTTGGAGGATGGCTCTTAACTCTTCCCCATGTACTTGAAGCACATGTGACTTTGACATGTAATCTAATCTGTACAAGGCAAGCATTTATGAGCAATGGGACATCCCACAAATGAGCAGAGACTAGATAGAAAAACTGTGTGAAAAAGGGATGGAAGGTGCGGTTGTTGGGGGAGATGTGTACAATAGGGAGGGTTTAAATCTTTTATGAACCTGGCAAACAAGAGTACCTTTGGGAGAAAAGAGCCCAGGTATATATATTTTTGGTTTAACAAGTTCACAAATCAATCTGATTATGCAGCAATTCAACTAGGATTCTGCTTTACATCTCATAAACAAACACTTCTGGTTTTACCTTCTTGGGTTCTGGCATATTATTAATATAAATAGTGTAGATTCCACTTTTATTAAAACCAGCTTGGTATACATCTGCACAGTCTCTAAATGGTTTTTCTTCCTCTTTTTTTCCTCCCTTTAGTAAAACTGCAAAAAAAAAAAAAAAGGATAGCAATATGTGAATAAGAATATCAGTACCATTAGTACCCAAATATATATAAGTAAGTCTTCATTTCCTTCAAACAAATGTTGATATTGCATTTACTGAAAATCAATCATGAAGATATGACTAGATTTTGAGGTGACTCACAAAATTAAAAAACTAAAGGAAAAATCTGTAGAACAATTTGTGACTGAATATATATTTTGCTTAACTTTTTAAATCATTTTTCTCTATAACTTTTCTAGAATAGTGACTCAAGGGACAAATGACTTGATCTTAAAATACCACCAATTCACAACAATTATGCCATTGTCTTTGCAAAATTTCTAAACCATTCTTACCTACATTTCATAGAAATGCTTAAAAAAGTGCTAAAGCATTTTGGAGGAAGAAGAAATGATGATGACAAAAACATAACAATTAAGTATGCAGGTTAAAAATGCTAAAAATAGGAAGTACTGTTTTTCTCGTGGCTTTAGATTGAAGAGCTCTTAACAGATTATTATTAAAAAAATCAATAAAAACTTCAAAAATCATTAGATTTATAAAGTAGAAAAGAGTCTCTCCCCAATTTAACTACCTAGAAGAAAAAGGAACTGAACTTTGTTTTTTATATAGTGTCAAGTTAAATTATCAAATAAAACATAATTAAAGAACAAAAATGGATAAGATTTTAAATTAGACTACATAGGGGGAAGAGCTCAGGAAAGGCTGGAAGTCAAGTGGAAAAAGAAACTTAACTGAAGATAGTCTCTACTGAGAACTTTATTTTATTCACTGAGCTTCAATCATTATTAAGTTCTTATTAATGAGATCAAAGTACAAAAGTGACTCATACTTAGTAGTCCTTAGCTAAAAGTCTAGGTGGTATATTAATAAAATAACTATGATGCACTATTTCCTAATACATAAATTTTAATAATTGGTTTCATTAATCTTTTTCTAGAAGCTTTTTAAGATTAAGAATATGTATTCATCTTGCCCTTAAAGTCTCATGTTATTTTCTAAATACCTGCTTTCAATCACTCTGAGTCACATGGTCTTTTATTAAAAAAAATATCAAAGGTAGGCTGTGAATTAATGCCTTTAAATTGATTTTAAACGCTCTAACAATCTAAAATACTAGCCTGACTTAAACTTTAGATGCATGATGTTACTAATTTATAGGTAATAAAAGAATAAACAGTCTGATCTTGGTAAAAAACATGACTATCTCAATATAAATATTTCAAATTTCAAAAATATTTGTTTAAAGAACAAAATATTCATGTCAGACATGTTGCCATAACAAAAATAAAGAATTACAACATTTACCAGAATCAGTTTCCTTTATAGCTCATGCCTACACTGTTTTGCCTACTTATATTACATCTGAATAATTACATCTGAACACCTCCATCACAACTGCAATATCAACAAAGAGTAGGTAATCAGAGGACTATGGGTTCATATAATATTGAAGAAGTATAGAACAGAATGTATGCAAATAGCAATTTAAGGATGACTATATAAATGCTTACACAAAAGCTATCGTTAATGGCACTGGGCATGTCAATGGATTGCATAAAGGTATTGTTCTCAAAAAACATCAACACAGTTCACTTGTGCTTGATTATTTTTCTAAAACAAAACTTTCTAATTTCTAAATGCTTGATCTTCTGTTGAAAAGTTGAAAACAACTGAAATTTATGATTCCTTAAGAGGATGAACAACACAGGAAGATGTGGTCAATAGGAATTCAACGGTAAACCCATTTTTCTTTTTTGGGTGGGTGATGGAAAAAGTCATTTATCTAAGGAGAAAATGCTTCTCTTGTTAAATATACCACTTCCTGCTCTCCCTTATTTAGTTATGTAATAAGAATACATTTTCTCCCTAGTTCTCTTCCACCTCCCCTCACCTTTTCTTTTTTTCTTCTGCAATTTACTAGTGAAAATACTGTTGTATGGGAGAGGGAAACTATCATACATTTTCAATAATAAGAGAAAAAAGGAAAAATCTGGATATTATCTTATTTTTCTGGAAACCAGCTGTATAAAATAATCTTAAAACCATGAATATGTCTTGTAAATGCAAAAATGGTTTGAGGATTCTACTATAAAAGATACAATAGTACCATGATTATACTCTGGATTGTTTGTTGTTAAGGCAACATATCAAATATACTTTATTTTCTTGAAATATATATGGTATTTTTGAAAAACTGAAACACATTCTTTCCAGAAGAAACAGTCATTTTTTCTGGAAAGTTTAGCTGGTTGTTTTTAATCACTTATTAATTAGTAAACATTATGTTTGAAAGTTTGATACAGGCTATGTTTTAGAGCATTAAAGCATTTAAAATAAATTTAAAAGTTTCACTCTCAGCTTACCTTTCATATTTGTATTACATACTATGATTTGAAGAAGGTCCCTTCTATAAGGGTAGATTGATCTTCAGAATTTTTCTTTCTTTTTTTAATTTACAAAGTGGGCAATTACATGTATTTCTGAGATATATGTATCACATGTATCTATGTGAATTATGTAACAGAGCAGACTGTGCTATCATAAGTACTCAAGAAATGGTAGTTATGATTTTTCTTACAGTAATAATAAAAATGGCAACATTATTTTATTATTCCTTATGGCTAGTAGGCTGTGGAAGACCAATCAGCACAGTTAACGCAGCACTGGATACTGTTGTCTTCCATTCTTAAATCTAAACATTATAACTGGCCAAATGCAGGGCAGTTACAATTGACTGGTTATAATTGGTTTTATACTGAACTGGCCTCTCCTTGGCAAAGTTGGCTAACTGGCTTATTTTATTCATTAACTACATTGGGTCATACCTTTTTTAAGTCTAAAAAAAACCCAGGAAATATAATTTTGATGTATATGTTAGCTTTATGTGAATAGCTAAGATGTAAAGGTTATTTCAAATAGAATGATAAATCATGTATATACTAACATGTAGACTGCAGAGGTTTTAATCTCATAACCTTAATTTGCATGACTAATTATTTTCTTTAAGTACTAGAGAGTTCTGAAATTCCATGTTATGATTAGATACTGTTAAACTGGACATATAGTAAACATTTTAAAACATAGACAATAGTAAAAATTAATTTACTGATAATGCAAGTGTGAGAAATAAGGATAAGTTTTTGTTAGAAGCACTTGAGATTCAGTAAGATGGAAGATAATGCCTAGAGGAATGTATGATCAATAACAAGAGACAGATATGGAAAACATAACAGAAAAGGACAAAAGAAACATCATCTGGACAGAGCTGAGACAAGCAATCTGGAGACCTGACAGAGATGTCTATCAATCTGTCAGTGGTTTATGCTTGAATTCAAAAATTGATTGTTACATCTAAAAATTCCTTCTTTGATCATGTACTCTTTTCTTTTCCTCTCCCATTCTTTAATTCTGAGTTATCTTCCTTTAATTGAGTCTAGATCCCCACCCAATACTATAATTCCCTTTCTGGCCTCCCTTTCTTTTCTTTCTGGCCTCAATCTCAGAGTCAGGCATTAAAGTCCAGGTGGAATTCATGTTCTCCATCCACTGTTCTTTCATCTATTAACCCTTTGCATGGGTAAATCCTGACCCATTTATTCACTTTCTCATCCCAGTTTCCAGATTGCAAATGCTAAAGTGAGGCTATATTTAATGCCATCCAAATGCATGTTTTCTAAACTCAGCTGTGCCCTTCATGGTGCTCAGTCAAATCCTTGGCTATTTCTAATAGACTTCCTATTACATTTCCTAAAAAGTATATTTCAAATATTTCCTCTTTTTCAAGACTAAATCTTACTCCTATTTTCTCTCACTCTTTATATATGACCTTGTTCTACGGTTTACTATGAAGATCAAAGCCATTTGATGTATCTCCTCCACCTTCCTCTGTACTACAGAAGTTGTATTTGCTTGTCTTTCCCCCAGTCTTTTGTATGGACCTCTTAGTCCCTTTTCTGCTTCTCTAATTATCCTTTCTTTCATCTTCATTGGGTTCTCTCCCTCTCCTCACCTGCCATATAGATGTTTGCCAGGACTCTACTCCCGGATTTCTATTCCTTATACATCTGCTCTTTCTGCAAGCTATTATAAAATAGCTTCAAACTTCTACACAGAAGATTTCTAAGATATCAGCATTTTTGATACTGTGTGTTTGCTTCTCTCTTGACCACCAGATGCACATTTCAATTTGTCTGTTGGGCAGTTCCAACTGCTACCCTAGCTTTAATTGGTTTAGTGTTACCTAATCTTTCCTTCCAAACCCTGTGTTTTCTCTTACTGGTCCTGTTCTCCTCCCTCAGTTGTCATCAGCTAAAAATTAATGAAAGCCTAAATATAAGACAAATACAGTGAGGCTTTTTAATTGACCTGTCAACTAAAAAGCATGCCTCCTGCCTCCTCTTAGTTTAACCCATCCTATGGATTGGATTAATTAAGTCAACAACTATTGATTGACCATCTTCTATTTGCATGACTTTTCCTAGGCAATGGAGATATAGATATAAGAAAACCACAACTTGCCCTTAATGTAATCAGAGTCTAATGGGAGAAAGAACTACTACATTAGTAGGTCTTCCATGATTGCTTATGATAGCTATATCCATGATTTGTATTCTCCATGATAGGAGGACACCCAACTCAAGCTGGCTTAAGCAAAAAATAGTTTATTGAATCATGTAATTGAGTAATATAGGATAGAGCTTTAGGTAAAGCTTACAACAGGTTTCAATCAGGTTTCATACAATGTGAAGAGGAATTGTTTTACCTTTTTCTTGACTGAGTTATTTGACTCTACCTGGTCCCAAGATGGCTAGGACTACAACTTTATTAGTTTAACTTTAGCACTAAAGAGAGATAATACATACAACCGCTGTCTTGGAGGTATGTGCCAAGTGCATTGGAACTCAGGAAGAATATACTCTGTCAGGTAGACTTGGAGAAGGCTGTCCAGAACAGATAACATCTGAGTGAATGAAAC